TAATATTACAGCAGCTAAGTCAGTGCTTCCTCACTAACGTACCACAAAGAGGTTAGAAGTGTGCTGTGCTGCTGCCCCCACCATTAGCCCTCAGGAACGCCAGGCGGGGCCTGTGGGAGTTGGAGCTCCTAGGCTGGGTACATCCCGCCTCCTGCAGTAGTCTCTGTTTACCCCAGAGCACACTACAACTATTATCACTTTTCCGTATGTACCATAACATGAAAAGACTGGAAAGCAGTAAGTTAAGGAGTCATTACTCCAATTTTCCCATGTCAGTATGTCACCAACATACCTTTTCCAACCTCAGACTCCGTTATTCCAACCTATCTGTGCTATATTTTAGCCACACCGAACTACTGTTCCTCTAATACTGCAAGTCTGTTCACATCGCAAGCCTTTGCACACCCTACTTCCTTTGTCCGTCACGTCATTCTTATTCTACTCCAGCCACCTGGACAAACTCCTCCTATTCTCCTAGATTCAGTACCAAGCACATATACAAATTCTTTTCTAAGAGATCTTGGTCAACTGGTGGCACCTAAGCAGATTTATACCTCCAGTGTAGCACTTACTACAATAAAATGATTTGTCTGTTTCCCTTCCTCATCTGTGAGTGTCCTGATACTAATTTCCACAATTCATCTCCTTCACTAACTCATCTTCTTGGCCTTTTTCTCTGTTGTCTTTAAAACATGATGTTTCCTAGAACTCCATCTTCATCTGTCTCTTCTCACTCCACAAGATAGCCATAGAACAGAATTCAAACATGTTCAGGCTCATTATTTCATGAAAACACAATTAAGTGTTTAGGGAAAGTAGTATCTCCATTTTTTAAATTCAAAAATTAAAGTTTACACAAGTCAATGAATTGCCCATAATCACGATGATTAACAACTAGCTCAGCCAAGGATAGATACCAAGTATTTGGGCTCCAAATTCAATGCATTTCCTAAATGTTGCCCTGACTTTCTAAATGAATTCTTGGTATTTTAAACTGGAACTCTTGAAAAGTATATTCCCATAGAAACCTTCTGATTTGTGATTAGGTGCTGAAGAACCATAGGTACTATACTTCCATGATGAGGTTTCATAGCATTTGGGGAATTGAACTCAGAAGTTATTTTTCCATAGAAATATAAATCTTAAATATGAAATAAGCAAATTAATAAATTTTCTTATAGAACTTGTTTGAAAAGAAACATAAAAAGTGCAAAGAAAGAGACAATATTTCATGCTGATGTTTATCAGTAAAAAATACACCAAAAGTTTTCAGAGGTAATGTGAACTGCTGAATTCACTTTAACAGTTTTGTGTCCCAAATATACAAAAAATTATTCAAAGCAGAAAAGATCAGTTTTCACTCCAACATTTCTAATACCAGAGGCGAACAATTTATTCTTATTTTACATTTATTCTTATATGCAAATTGTCTTTTCCCCCCACCTCACTTTTTTCTCATCCCCTGTAGAAGCTGTAAAATTCTGAGGATTGCTGTTTTTGAATTCCTGGGGCTTCATGTGTAACAACTGGGAAACTCTTAGCCTGACAATAATCTAGTAGAAAAATTGATAATTAAAAAATTTACAGTTTGTTCACAGACATACTATTGTAGGAAAAGAAATAAAAATGTTTCTTCATTTTTAGCCATCTGTTGGCCAACTGCCAATTAGTCTCAAGTAAGACTGGAACAAATACTGTGTTTATACATCTTCTTTATCATACAGCTTGAAAAACTAGGCCTTTCCTTACAATGATAATGATATTCATTGGGAATTATGTTTAAAAATCTGTGTTCTGAATATATAATTTAAAAGGTTAGAACAAATAGTGAAATTTTTCATTTGAAAAATATTTAGAGTGAAAAAGGAACTGTTCTTTGGGTTTCATTATAAACATTTTGGTAATTTCAAAAAAATAAAATCTACCCCTATTTTACCAAGTACACAAGGAAAATAAATTTAAATAATCCACTGAAATGAATAAAATTCATCTACAGACTAGGAACTCATAGAAACTAGGCTGGGACTTGGAATACAACTACTAGAAACTGTTCAAGATTTTGGAAAATTATGTTACTGATGGCAACACCCCACCCACACTATTTGAGTTGCTAATAGACCTGTATCAGTCTGCACTTACAGTTGTCACATTCATGGCTGTTCTACATACCAGTGCCAGCACTATTTAACTGTTTCAGTACATTTCTAGTGTAGTCATGGACAAGCATTTATATCGCAATGTAACTATTACTTTATTGTAAATTACTTCTATTTCTTCTTTCTATTCAATAAGGGAAACATGTTGATTTTAAAATTATAGATGTACTCTTATCTATGAATTTCATTTTAGGATCCAAAAGGCTCCTATATTTGCTGAGGTACCCTCCTATATCTGTTGAGGGTTGTAATTTTTGAGAGTTTTTCTTGTTTTCTCTTCTGATGTCTTTAGTCCACTTCTTTCTAAATTCATCTACATGAAAGGGGTAGCCGGTTAGCTCAGCTGGTTAAAGCGTGGTGCTGATAAATTCATATACATAATGAAAAAATTACAATGTTTCATTAATCTTTTTTAAGTACTGTTTTGAGGGCTGAAGGTGAGATTATAGTAGCCATGCCGTTCTGCATCAGAATATTCTGTTTATTTCTATAGGCTCCACTTTCCAAAGTTCTATTTTTCTCTTTAAGTTCTATTCCTTTCCTTATTTGTTGCTGGTGAATTTCTGGTTGCCATTCTTATTTATTTATTTATTTATTTTTAAAGATTTTATTTATTTATTTGACAGAGAGAGAGAAAGAGACAGAGAGAGAAGGAACACACGCAGGGGGAGCAGGAGAGGGAGAAGCAGGCTTCCCGCGGAGCAGGGAGCCGGATGCGGGGCTCGATCCCAGGACCCTTGGATCATGACCTGAGCTAAAGGCAGACGCTTAATGACTGAGCCACTTAGACGCCCCTCTGGTTGCCATTCTTATTACTACTATTTGTTTGATCATTTTGTTAGCTTTTGGGGATGAGTCTGAGATCTTGCTTTGCTCAGCTGAACGTGACAGTCTTTTTAATTTTTTGAGTACAGTTGACACACAAGTATACTTTCAGGTATACAACATAGTGGTTCAACTTCGCTATATATTATGCTATGCTCACCACAATTGTAGCTACCACCCGTCACTATGCAACACTATTACAGTATCACTGACTGTTTTCCTTATGCTGTGCCTTTTATTCCCGTGACTTACTTATTCCATAACTGTAAGTCTGTATCTCCCACTCCCCTCTACACAAATTTGCCCATTTGGCAGTCCTTTTTTTGTACGTTCTTTGGATGGAGTGCTTTTCCTCTCCTTTGAAGAGACCATCCCAATAAATATTTTTCTTAGTATAAAAGGGTGAGTCCTTCAATTACTTTGTGATGAATGAAAATTTACTGCAAGCTTTTCTAATCTCAACTGCATTCTTTTTATAGCTAATAAAGTATGAGAGTCTACTGAGGGTCCATTATCATGCCACTTTAAAAAATATTAGTTATTATTTATTGGGTGATGACAATGTGCCAGTCACTGTTCTAAGAACTATACATTTATTATCTCATTAATGTCATTACAATCCTATAGGGTATTTGTTATCTTCACAGGAAAGTGAAGTACAGAAAAATTACATACCAGTCTGTCCAACCACATAGCTAGTAAGCAGCTAAGCAGAGATTTGTACCCTGGTCATCTGATATCAAAGCCTGAGTTATTTAGCCACGACCTTACTGCCTCCTAAGTTTTTAGGGCCCTCCTTTCCCCTCAAGGACTAACTGCTTCACTATAGATTTTTTGATTTCTACTTTCTCTTTACAGCCTACCCAAATGCTCAAGAAATATTTGTTACTTAAATAATAAAGACTTAACTCCTTCTTTTCACTGCTTCCCTCCATCTCTTTCAAAGTGCCTTTTCCTTTTAGCAACAAGAATGGCAAACTAAAACCCCAGATATCATTCTTACTCATTTCTGAGCAGTTAGAGGTAACTGCCTTCTACAATTTAAACAACATGCTCAGCTTAATAATTTTCACTTGTGCATTCTAAACCAAATGGTCTGCTTTGATGGGGAAATTTTTTGTAATAAGGTATAAGAATTAGGTACTCCTCTTTTCCACTTCTGGCAGAACCACCTCTATGCTCCCCAGGAGCTCAGATCACCAATTATGTACTCTGCCAGCCCTGGGAACCAGTGATACACCAGATCTATTCAAGCTACCTTGTGTTCCCATCAGAACTTACTATTTTGTCTCTTACTTTGTCAGGTTTCTGACAACAAATTAACAGGAGGTCAAGCATATCAACAGATTATACACTGTAGGCAGCATGGCTGATTTAGAGTGAAAGGTTAGTGGATGTAATATGCTAACACAGAAAAAGTTATTGCAGTTTCAGGTATTATGACAGGCTGATGGTTTTGGCATTATTTTGAGATAGGCCAGCCTCTTGCCTCACTTCAAGCCATACCCCATAAGTAACATTAAAGAATTTTTTTAGAGATACGAAGGCATGTAAGTAAACATACAAAGATAATGCAAAGAGAAACACAATCTTGAATTTTAAAATGAAATCAGTCAGGTATTTTTAGTAGCCTATGGTATAAGAACAGTGTAACAGAAGGATTGTGGGAATTTAAGTCTGTTAATGTAGGCAACAATTCTTTATGGCAGAATTTATGTATATAAATGAACCCAATGTGGCAAAGAACGCTTGTATATTATACATACGTAAGAGTGCCAGAGAAAAATGTAAACATGATAATTAAATGTGGGAAATAAGCAGAAGTCATTTGTGAGGATAACGGTTTGGGAAGAGCAAATTTTAAAAATATTTATAAAATTAAAAGGTCAGATCTAAATTGAACCTGCTTAAAAGAGAAACTTCAAGACTAAGAATCCACTTCGATTATTTGCATTTTAATAAGAAAGATGCAATGTTATCACATGAAAACTGAGCTAATATATTTTGAAAATTACTTACACTGATGACTGATGAACAAGTTGACAAATTTAAACCTTCAAGATCAGCTATCAAGCTTGGAGAAAGAGCTGGTGTGGGAAGTGCAACTGGAGTGGATACTGGGTTAACTGTAAGAAAAGGCCCAAATTAGCAAATATGCATGAAAATTTAATTCATATTATTAAAAGCAACATTTTTATTTTGTTAGTAAATCTAATTAAATTACTTTGATTAATAAATCTATGACAATTCTATTTAACATCTTGATTTAGTTATTATCAAGTCATGACAGTTATTAGTCTTAGCTTTCAAAACATAATGGCAAATCTTATAACAAAATAAGGATAGAAATACCCTGAGTAATAGTTTTTGAAAATTTGTATCACATAATGTTATCACTAACATTTATCACCCAGTAACCTCACTAAAATAAAAAAAAGGTAAAGAAACATTTTTTTCCAGCTAATATATAGAACAACAATAGCTTTCAAGAGTTTTGAAGCAGAATCAGAAGTCTTAAAAGGGTATTTAAATCCTTTCTCTATTTTATTCTCCATTACAATAATTACAGGGGTCTAGGCTACCTAACTCCCTTCTAATTACACTTGGTCAGCAAAAGCTATGTACCAGATAGAAATTTTTGATTCTAAAACAACTATGTACATGAGATCAGGTATGTGAAAACTCGAAAATCTTTGAAAAAGTACAGATCTCATCCTCCCCTGCTTAAGACTCTTCAAAGGCTCACAATTGCCTCTAAGATAAAAGTCCAACACCTTAATTAAGGGCACACGGTTCTTTATGATCTAGCTCGGCACTGTCCAACAGAAATTTCTGTGATGATGGAAATGTTCTATAGCTGTGCTGTCCAATATAGTGGCCACTAGCATATATACCTAATGCACTCTTGAAATATGGCTAGTATGACTGAAGAATTGTACTTCATAGTTTAATTAACTTAAATTTAAATGTAAGCAGCTACTTGTGGCCAGTCGGCATCATACTGGGTAGCAGAGGTCTATCTCCAATTTCATCAGCAACTCCTATGTTCAGGCCCTACCAATTAATAGTTCCCAATGTCTCGTTTCATGTCTTTGAGCCTTTTATATTCTATTCTCTTTACCTGGAAAGTTCTTCTCTGCCTTGTTTACCTTGCAACTTCTACCCATTCAGGTACCACTTAGAAGGAAAGCACAAGCTGACTCACCAAAACACAGCTTCTGTGTGCCTTATTGTTCTACAGATATACTTGGACACACTTCTACAACCATACTTCTCTCGTAATACAAATCTGTAACTTTTTATTTTTTATTTCTACTAGTCTGCTAATGTATTAATTTTTAGTGCTTAGTAACTGCTTGACTGTTGAATGAAAAAAATTAAAATGTGGGAAAAGTTTTAGCTTCCAACAAACTCTCACTTCAAAATAAGACCATAAAGGAAGTAACATATTTTTTTTAAGATTTTTTTTTTTTATTTGAGAGAGAGAGAGAGAATGAGAGATAGAAAGCACGAGAGGGAAGAGGGTCAGAGGGAAAAGCAGACTCCCTGCTGAGCAGGGAGCCCAATGCGGGACTCGATCCCGGGACTCCAGGATCATGACCTGAGCCAAAGGCAGTCGCTTAACCAACTGAGCCACCCAGGCGCCCAAGGAAGTAATATTTACTTAATTTGACAGGACTTTTCAAACCATCTTTTTCTCATTTAGTCTCACAATATTCTGTAGTTAGGCAGAAAAAAAAATTAAAAAATTAATTCATAAAGTTAGGAATAAAAAAATGATATTGCCCAAAGAAGAAAATGTTCAAAGGAAGTCTGAAATAAAATTTCAACATAGACAACAGAAAAAGCAGAGTGGAGACTGGGTGGAAGAGGAAATGGAGTCCTTGCTTTCTCCCTTGCTCCTTCATTGTGCCTGAAACCCGGCTACAAATCCCCAGGCTTCCTCAGACCTATGTTGAAAACCAACGTACAGTTGGCAAGTGTCACAGGGAGTTGGGAGTGGGGGGTGGGGTGGGAAGGATCAATGGGGATATGGTGGTAAAGGAAGACTTCATGAACAGGAGGAAATGAAGCTCAGTTTTTAAGTAAGAGCAAAGGAAGAAGTTGGTGACTTAGTAGGTGAGAAAATACCGTGAACAAAGGCGGAGAGGTGGGGACGTGGAAAACTAAGGGGGTTATATTTATCCTCTACACCAAAGGGAGCTGTTAAAAACTACCAAAAGAGGAATAATATATGTACTGCTGGATATCAGTATAAGGGACAAACTGAAGAAGGAATAATAAATAGTCGGGTTGGCAGTGAGGAGGAATACAATAATTTAGGCATGACATGAAAAGGACTAAAAACAACAGGTGAGGAGGCAGAAAAAACATTTATATTAAAGACACTGTAAACTGAGGCACAGGGAGATTATGTCTTGCAAAGATCATAAAACAAGTGAATGGAAGAATCACTGTGGGTGGGACCAGAAACTGGTTCTCTTCTCTTGGATCAAAATATGTTGCCTTTCCAAAAGTCACTTTTCTGGTAGGTTCTAAATATTTGTTCATCCATCCATCCATCCATCCATCCATCCATCCATCCATCCAAAATATTAGATGCCCATGTAAGGAAAAAAAATTGAGTAAGAAAGCCTCTGATTTCAAGTATGGCTTGGCCTAAAGACACAGAGAGGAAAAAGACATCAAAAGCAAGAGGAAAATTCACACCAAAGTTTGACTTAAAAAAAAAAGAAGAAAGAAAGGCTTTTAATACCACTTCAGAAAAAGGCTTTGGTACTAAAATGACTACACATCTGTTTAAAGGTCTGGCAAGATAAAAGCTTAGACTGCTGAATCACAGATCTGTACCTCTGAAACAAATAATGCAATATATGTTAAGAAAAAAAAAAAA